GATCTACTCTTTTACACAATCTTTTACACCTCTCTCATATGGAGGGGGGTCCACGATTATTTTATTATGTGTGGGCCCCCCTCCATGTGAGGTGGGTGTAAAAAATTGTGTAAAAGATTGTGTACACTTAACATTATTCATTTTTATAAAGAGACATGCTATGTGTACATATGTGTACACATAGGGGTCGACATAATGTGAGTAAGGTGGAGCCCATGCTACAGTAGTGCGGGTCCCACCCCACTCACATTATGTTATCCCCTATGGATCAATCTACACATAGATTAATCCTTTTATAAATGGGGTAAGATGAAAAATGTCTCTAATTTTTCATTTCCTTGGCAAATCTATCTCCTGCCTTTTCTTTCAAGCATTTGCGTCCCAACCTTCTATAAATTGACGACATTTAACCAAATAGATGAATTTCGTCCAATTCAATGTTAGTCAACCAATTTGTCCAACAAATTCAAAAATTAAAAAAGGGTAAAATAGTCATTTTAAGTCATATTTTAAGTAAAATTTTTTTAAATATGTATTTATTTTATTTTTTAAATAATTTTTTTAAAATAAGTATTTATTTATTTATTTATAAAATTTATTTTATACATATAATGCAAAATTATTGTTTTACTCATTATAAAATTAGTGAAAGGGGTGAAAAAAAGTTGGATGACCATGGTGAAACGTTATATGAAATTGAATGACCGTGGTAAAATAAAATCAAATTTGGTGGTCATAGCGACACTAAATATAAAGTTGGATAACCATGGATGAATTTAACCAATTTTTAGTATGTGATAAAAAAATTGTAGTACTTTAGAATCTAAAAGTTTTAAAAGTCAGACAAAGTACATGGAATGTCTTCTTGATAATAGTAGAAATAAGAATGAGGTAGTCACTTCATCAAAAGAAAAGGACCATGGCATCTTCAATATTGTATTTTTCTCCATCTCCTACTTGTGTAATTCTAAAGGTAAATACATTTGTAAAATCACTCATTCCACATATTCATCACTGATTTGACACTCTTTAAATAAGGATAAAATGAACAAGATAATTTTCAGCTTGTGCAAGTTTATAAATTATTTAAGTTGACGACTTAAATATTTAAATTAGGTGATTCAGCTTGTGCAAGTTTATAAGCTGTAATAAGATACAATTCACACATGACATACCCACTGCAAACAAAAAAAAAACTACACAATCTTCTTAAGAACAAAGCATTTGTCCCAGCTTTTCATGGTTTCTATTGAGTTCATAATATATTTACTTTGTTCACTTCATAAACGAAGATAAAACAAGGTAAAATTAAAGATAAGAACATGCCAAAAGAAAATTATCTCAACTGTAAGTTGGCAACTATTCTGAGTACAAAAATCTCGAATCTGCCAACTTTTCTGCATCACAAGCTATATATTACAATCTTTGTCATCCTATAAAAAGACGTATATTCAAGGTTGAGACTACAATAGTTTTTGCCAACAATATGTGAATGCAATCACGAGAATCGTAATAAAAGGCGCTGAAATGGCCAAGGGATTCAACAGGTACCGTCAGGGACCGAAAAGACGTGGGTGTACAGAGCTACTACTAGTGCTTGCTTGGGCACCAAAACTTGAAGTTGGCCGGAGGAGTTCAGCCTGTGGGAAGGAGCTGTTGCATGGCACGTCCAGCAGCAAATCCTGTTCAGAACTTTCGTCTGCAAAACGGAGAGAGTCAAGCACGAGGGAGCCATTATCATTTGGCGAGGAAAATAGGTTTTTTGGACTAAAGCAAGAACTGTCACTATCTATTGGTTCCTTCTGTTCGTAGCTCGACTTTATCATCGCCCTTCGGGGGCTCTTCATCATAGTTTTCAATCCTGAAAATAAAACAATTAGGAGGTTATGCCTACGCGTATACATACAAGAGTATTTCCAGATTTATCTAAATTATCAAAATTCTATTTAGTGAATGAGTCAACACTCCAGAGCACATTATCCGTCATAACATAAACTAATGTTCTATTATGATTTAGAAAAGCAATTTTCAGCCAAGAATTGCTAAAGAGAGTTTGGCTTGCAGATTATCAAGGATACAGATATCCCAATATTTGATGGGAAAACTGATATCCATATCAGGGAGGATCCTTACAAGTGTCTATAAGATATAATCGAGAAGATATAAATCTGATAATGCAGAAAATTGCCATACGTATTTTACTAGGACATAAGTACCAGCGATATCAAGGAAATAGTTGGAAGAAGAAATAAACAAATTCTGTCAGCAAGTTTTGTGGGACGTCAAAATCTTGGATATAGTGACAGAGGAACCAAAACAAACTAGAGAATGAAGACATTCAAAAAGGAATAACCTGAGAGCAAAGCCTATGATATGATGCTGTTAAACTCTAGGAGACAAATATAGTCAAGGTTAGAAAGCGGCTGGCTTTTTAAAACCCTTTACAGCATATGA